TTTTCCTTTCCATCCGTTCGTTCCTGGTTTAGTTGGTCTTATGTGCTCGAAACTTTGAGCTACGAAATTCCGTTAAGAATTGCGTTCATTCCCCAATAGTACACTAATAAGAGTGAAATCGAGTCCAGTGCTCCCACTTTTTGGTTTGGACTAACCAAGACGGTTGCCGAGGACAGGAGGGCGACAGTCATGTGGGTATGTATTCTACTTATCAATATGGTGTTCAAATAGTTCAAAATAGTTCTCTACATTCGTGATAAATTCCGTACACCATTGTCTAACTGTGCTACGATCGTGTACCCTTAAGGAATTTGTGAAAGCATCCACTTTCCAATCTCCATCCCGTTGAGCCATACCAGCTGTCCTGTGCTAATTTCAGTTATTTATTGAAAGAAACCTAACAACCATGTCAGTGCATTATATAATTATTATTACACCATCATTATTACTGTCACTATTATTATTTTGCACCTTCTTCACCGTCCATCCTGTCTCCACATAAACCGACGTACTGAGTCAAAATACTCCCTCAATCCTATGCGTATACATTCATCCATAGAGGAAAATGTTGGTAGCTCAGGTATCGTAGATGGTGGTCGTTGGCTTGTTCGCTGAGCTGGGCAATTTGATTGCAAACGTTTCATCACCAATCGAGGTGACATCATCAGTGCGTTATTGTGGAGCGTAGTAGTGCGTAGCGGTGGGTTGGTGGGTGTGCGTTTATTGTGCTCCACAATAACGCACTGATGATGGCACCTCGATTGGTGATGAAACGTTTGCAATCAAATTGCCCAGCTCAGCGAACAGGCCAACGACCACCACATTCATCCATAATTGGTTTTCACCTTTCTAGCTTGTGTTTTTCGTTGTATTGTGGTACTAACTGCAAGCGGATGTAGTACCGTCGTCTCGAAGCGTCCCACGCATTCACTACTCCGTAAGATCACTTCGATCGTTTTTATGGATGTTCTGTTCGCTCTACTGATTACCTGACCTAGTAACCAGCGTTGTAATATTCCGAAAAATTATAAACAAAATGCAAGCAATTTCCTCTAGTCTTCCTACAAAGCCCCAGCTACCATAGGATAATATGAGAATCGGTGTTTAATTCTCTTTGACAATGACGTAACAAACTAGCAAGGCGCTCCTCACAGGTGTAGGCCGCGCGAAAAAGTGAAAAGAGAAATCATAGAAAATAGTAATAGAATTCGATTTAAAAATGAAGGTTGGGAACGCAATACCCCAATGAGAATTTGAAAAAAAATCAAACTGTGTTATTCAGGCTTAATCATGTTCTCAAAAATTGGAAGGCAAACATCCCGCCAGTAGGCATGCCCCCGGGGGGTCGTTGTCATGGCCTCTTTTAAATTGTTCCGATAAGTCAGTAGGTGCGGGGACCCGATAGTTGCCGATTTTGGTTGGGTGTATAACAGGTCGATCAGTTGTTCCGCTAAATCCGAGGAATTTGTGAACATCCCACCAAACCGATCCTCTGGCATAAGTTCTGCTAATGCTGGATAGGCGAGCGCCAAAACCGGAACCCCGACGCCGAACAGATCAACGACCTAAGGAGTGAGATGGAAAGTGTGAAGTTTGGACAGGTTTGACCTTCATATTTAAGCAAGCTTACTGTGGTAACTAATGTGAGCAAAACATAGAATTGGGAGAATTAAAAGTGGAAAAATATTTCGTGCAAGTAGGAAGATAGGGTGATCAACTCTGGGACATTGCCCACTGGATACACTGTGATTAATTCCGATCGCAACTAATAACAGAAATACACTGGTGGTATTACATGAGATATATCAAGCATAATGTGCCATTCGGTAGAGAATTTCAAGCCGTTCAGAAGGACTTCGAAGGAAACCTATTGCTGGTAAACTGTTAGTGAGTCTTGTTTGGGATTAATCCTAATTCTTTGCAGATTTTCCAGTAACTTATGCAGACCTGTTAAAAAAAACTGTGGTGTTACATACAGACAATAGAATAGAATGAGTGAATCTAACAACAGTTAGTTTGCTACTACGATTTCCAACTTTCAGACATGAGCTAAATCTCCACACCCTTCCCTGGTCCTGCATAATTAATCCATGGTCTTAAATGTTGAATGTGTGGTGATGACCACTCCGACGCGCTAATCTGTCGCGGACACAGTGGACTGTAGACATCCTTCACGAGAAATTGTTTGAACTGTAAGCTGCCCTCACTGTCGAAAGCGATTGTGTGCATCCACAACTCGGCACAAATGTGCGTTGGAAACCAACATGTGTGTGATTAGGATGCTAAAAATAACAAATAAAAGACAACAAACAATCGTTCAGCTGTGGCACCCTTTCAGTTCCTAGCTGCCATGCCAACCGAAGTAAGCACGAGGGCTGGGATACTGCCAGGATGTCCAAGCCTAGACAGGGTAAGTCTAGGGCCAAAGGTCAGGTTCAAACCACGGACTTTCCGGTCAGTAGATTTGGGCTCTAAAGACAAGTTTACGCTTAAACATCACAAACTACAAACCGTCCCTCTGAAGCATATTTTGTAGCACACCGATGACGAGGCGAGCATTCAGAGTAAAGCCCGCTTCGGATGATTAGATTTATTATCACAGGCTCTGGTGATACGGATTTCCATAGAGGTGATTCGGAGCCCGGTAGTTCTACACCACAAACTGTATTTAACCGAACAACACTTCCCCCTACAGCCGCATTATGATGAAAACATTTTTGGTCTACGTAGTCGCACTTTTGTAACAATTAGTGTGGGTACGTGCTGTGCGTCATTCGTTCGTGAATGAGATACATCTATCAGGACCCATTAACGCCTCAACAGTATCCAAAACTTGGCACCACAAGATTGCAAGTTGCTTTGATCGGACTGAACTAAGACGATTGCAGTCAGTCAAACGCAGTTTCGGCAGCTGAAGGTAAAGGTACACCAGTGTAGGCAGAACTACAGTAAACTCAGTTAACATATGGACCTCATCTAAGGTGCACAACGCAAAAACACCTGGAAGAAGCTCAGAGTCGCAGAACCGACATAGGCATCATCATCATCATCACTGAAGGTAAAGGTACACCAGTGTAGGCAGAACTACAGTAAACTCAGTTAACATATGGACCTCATCTAAGGTGCACAACGCAAAAACACCTGGAAGAAGCTCAGAGTCGCAGAACCGACATGGGCGTGGAATACTCTCTTTGCTCTCTCTTTAAAGCCTATCTATATCAATTCATTCAATCAATCAATCAATCAATCAATCAATCAATCAGTCAGTCAGTCAATCAATCATTTTATCAGCTACAAACCGTCATAGGCACATTGGTTCCAGCTGCTACAGTTTCGATCACCGGAAAACGGGAAAGTGGAACGTACAACCAAGCCTTGGAGGTGAGGGCATTTTCAGTTTATTCGGAAATTGGGTAGCTAAGCAGTGAAGGCGATAGCTATGATACCAGTAACTGCGCGACTGAACCATTTCCACCAATGTCAGTAAACATTGGTGATTTGGGTCCCGGGGTCCCCATGGAGGCGGCAGTTGCCAACCCGACTAAGGCTACTGGTTAGTGTTTTCGTACTTCGTTACCAGGTTGTACACTGTCCACCTCTCGGTCGCTTCCACTCAGCTAAGGGCTGGGAGAAAAGAGCTCTGTGAGGTAGACAGTCTTCTGCCATGCGGAGTACATGTCCCAATAAACGTAACCTATGAAGCGTGAATAATTCATCTATCGCAGGAGAGTTCCATCTTCCTAAGACCATCTGGCGTACCTCAGCATTACCATTCCAATTTTCCCACAAGACCTAACCAGTGCTGCGGAGACACCGATGATGAAAACCTACCTATGGGATGATCCACTCTCTAATGCGACCATACTGTTGTGTCCGACACACGCCTACTCAAATTGTTAATTTCTCTGTGGTACATATCCCAGTCGGCTAAGTTCACTTGTGTCTAAAAAGTCCTTTAAAGGACTAGTCTGTAATAACGGGTTTCACGAGTTTGTTCACTGTCCCACTGAAACCGAAGTACCACCGTGGTATTGTGATTGGAGTCTGGTATGTATCTTACCATCAATCTCAGCACCAGAGAATAAAATTGGTGCTGATGCTGATAGTTCACTGTCGTACAACCACAAGATTTATTCACTTACACTAAAAGCCTTAAGGGGGAAAGAACAAAACTGAATGGGATCTTTTAGCCGACCGTAACTAGTATGAAGTGGCTACACCTCCAAACACTCAATCGGACCAGCTAAAAACAAATGGACAGCAAGAACGCCATTGAAATCAATCAGGCATCATTTCTCGCAATGTCTCGAGTCAAGCGCAGGAGGGATCACGGGGAACCCAACCTGGAAGGGAGACCGCGTCAACAACACCCAAACTCTTCGTAATATCTCCCACACCATTCTGCCCAGTCTTACATCGTCCACCTCACGGTTTGCGCCATTCTGAAAGAGGCATGGGAACAACACTCGCCCCGGTAGACGGTGTTTCGGCGTGCGTAGCACATGGCCGAGCCGACGTAGTCAGTGGTGCTCGATGTTTTCTGCGATTGAAGTACCTGATGCAAATACCCGTTTCCTAATCACCTCAATACGAATTCCTCGACGCCACCTGACAACAGCAACACGTTTGAGCCGTCATTGATCAAAATCCTGAAGACGTCTCATATTATCAGTCCGAAAAGGTCGTGTCAAAAGGTAGTGTCAACCAAAAGTAATAATAATCGTCCAGCTGTAGCACCTTTTCGGTGCCTAGCTGCCATGCCACCCGAAGTAAGCACGAGGGCTGGGTAATTCCAGGTTGCCCAAGCCTAGACAGGGGAAGTCGAGAGGCAGATGTCGGGTTCGAACCACGGACCTTCCGATCAGTAAGTTCACGCCCTAACCACTTGGTCCATCTCACCCCCAAACCATACAGCTCCTACCGCAGTGTGCCACATGTGGCCCTTGGAATCCAGCTATATGCTGTTTTGACATAACAAGTAATGCCAAACGACGAACATGATTCGGGCCTTTGAGATTCATGTACTGAGATCATCAGACACACTCTCGTCAGAGCTAACAAAACTACCGTCACGAAGAGACTGGACCTTAACGTGGTGTGAGGGTTTGCGCACCTCAGCGATCCATTGAGCAATATTGGAGAGTGTCCCGCGACACTCACAGAGTCTCTCATACCAGGTTGGTCAATAGTTAGAGGTCTGGCGAACACGGTCTCCTGGCCCTCCAGGTTGGGGGTTGGAACATGTGGCGACTTGTTCCGTAGAAATGGTAATGCACTTGCATTTCCCGCCAAACACCGCTGCTTTGCGGTTAGGCATTTGAGCCAAAGGATTTGGTTGAAGACCCTAATCGTCCTCCTGTCTAGGTGTGGGCGCCCTGGCAGTATCCCAGCCCACATATAACCATGAATTGCACATATCCAAATAAACTCATGCCACATCGGACGTCGCGTGGTGCCATCAGCGGGGTCGCCTTACTTGCTGCATACAGCAGGGCAAGTAAGCGAAAACAGGCTACTGCTGACGCCTCCCTTCTTTCTCCTTCACATACTTTTTCTTCCCCCTCTCCCCACCCCATTAATAACTCTCTCCTTGTAGGCCCAGCACTTAGGACTGATGACTCCGTTCGTCATGCATCGGTTTTGCGTGCAGCGTCTGCTCGTCACATGGCGCCGACATCTTCAGGAATCTCCAG